GTGCTTAACCAATTCACTAAATTCAAGTTTTTGGGGAAAATACATAACATCATATGGACGATGTGTGACAGAAATTAAGAGAAGAATTGGCCAGGTAAAAACAGCTTTTCAGAAGATGAAAAGTATTTTATGTAATAAATCACTCTCATTAAACATCAGAAAACGAGTATTGAAATGTTATATCGAGTCTGTTCTGTTGTATGGTAGTGAATCTTGGAATGTGAGCAAACAAATTAGATAGAGTTTAGAGGCAGATGAGATGTGATTCTTGAGAAACATGATGGGAATACCTTGGACTGCCAGAATAACCAACATTGAATGCCTAATGATAGTAGAACATTATGTACAACAATGAGAAGGTGACAAACAAAATGATTTGGTCATGTGATGAGAAAAGGAGGGAGCACTGGAAAATATCGTGACGACTAAAAAGATCATTGGTAGAAGATGCAGAAGCAAATCAAGAGAAATGATTGTGAATGGCTTAAGACAGTGGCATGGAGGAATATCATCAGTGCAATTGATCCAGAACACCAAAGACCTAGATCTTTAGCGACGTATGAACGCCTACGCCAGCTGGCAAGGCACTTGATGATGATGATCTCAGATATCATCGGTAGCTATACGGATTGACATTCAAGCGGAAACATTTAAAGTGATGACGTAAATCCGGTGACTGCAGTCGAGCAGATTGCAAGAAATGGTGCTTTTGCAATATCTTACCTCAGGATTACAGTCCAATATTTTCGGGGTGGTAAGAGCGGGTTTCCCGGCTTTCTGATACTTTTAACTACCCCAAAACATCTAGAACTGAGCCTAACCCCAAACTACCTACGTTCCACGAGAGAGTTCAGCCTAGGTTCCACGATTGCATGCAGCCTATCTACCACCCCTAAAATATTCGACTGTCTGGATTTCCGTGTTTGGGGTAAATAAAAACGAAAGCACTCAAGAAATGCTAAATATATAACACAGTATGAGTGACTATAAAGCTCAAAGGTGGAAATGGAAAGGATGCCCACAAACACGACCGAACGTTTCGACCAAAATCTTTATCAACGGAGTACTAAATGAAGCACAAACTGTGATTGGACTTCCTGGTTTCATGTTGACTTTTGTGTGTGTGTGTGTGTGGCTCTGTTGTCTTGTGTCTTGAATTTTCCAGTCAGAGTTTGTGCTGTCTTTAGTGAGTAAAGTAAAGATCCCTTTACACGACCTTAGGCGCATCGGGTATATGGGAAGAGCACCCATATTTTTACAGACCAATCGGCACTAGGTGGGTAATGTGGTCAGCATTACGCCGGCCGTCTTTGCTTCCCCAGGACAGCCCATCCTGGTACCCATTTGAGGCTGGGTCGACCTGCGACGTCCCATACCACGATAAAAATCCACGCAGCCCACGCAGGTTTCGATAGCGGTACGTTGGATTACGAGTCAGACTCGCAACGCCTTAGCCACGGACGCCGCGCTGTCTTTAGATAAAGATTGGTCGAAACGTTCGTTTGTGTTTCTGTGCGTCTTTTCCCTCCCTCCGTTGATCTTTCCAGTCATATGTTTTGGATATCTAGCATTCAAGTGGAAGCCGATAATTAATTCGCTTATAGTCTGCAGTGGTAGGTGGATACTTCATTTGTTGACAGTTGTTGGAACAGCATATTTGTTACTGCACGCAGCTGTTCAAGTGCGTTATTGACTAGGTCAACGTTGACGCAATTGTGAATAATTACACTTGTCAATGAGATAAGGAAGGGAGCAGAGATACACTAAAATAGGTCAAACTGCCGAGGGCACGTGAATTCAGTATAAAAATAGTACAATTAATAATAGTTTGAAGTTTGGAGTTACGAACAACGGATTAACATCATGGCATAAGGATGTAATCCATGAATGCTCCATTATTCTTCTAACTCAAGTCTTAATCCGAAGAAACTCAGCACAGTGCACAGGCTCTCTAGCACAGGCAAAGATTCTGAAATATTTTGTGCAGATTATCAACTCCAAATTTTGGCGGGGCAGCGCCGTTAGGCAACTCTTTTCGATTTCCAACTGCCAAGGGATTTTTTACGTACCCAGCAATGCACACGGGAGTCCGATCTCGCTACACAGAGACCAGGTGGAATTAGAAGTCTAAGTCCACACGAAAAATTGACAGCAATTACCGGGGAATGAACCCGGAACCTCTAGCACTCGAGGCAGACACCATGCCTCGAGACCACGCAGCCCCCTAAAACTAATAATAATAATAATAATAATAATAATAATAATAATAATAACAATCTTATTGGCAGCAAATATAACAATATATTGGAAATAATGTGATCACCCAGGCTAAAATATGTACTTAAGGTGGAATGGACAAACATACATGTAGGTTTGCAAGATAACAAATTGACAGTCCGTTAGACTCAATGACAGATAGGAAGACAGGGCGCAGGTAGGCAGACAAATGTTCAGACACACACGAAATGTCTATCGAAACTAATATAACGTTACCTTTCATGTTTCCTGCATGAAGATATCAGAAAGAAACAAACTCCAGGTATTTCACTACATCTGCTATGTTAGTTCTTCTTGAGAACTGCTCTATTATCTATCGACTGCAGCACTCGACTCTCGACTGTTAATCCTTAAAATGTTAAGCACATACAAAATAATGATTCATTTAATTTGTTATAACATCAATTAATAAAGTTATAAATTACTATTTACGCTAAATTTTTTGTCTGTGAAGACTTCGTAAACAACCAACTACTTACTACCTGCATGACTTTCTACATGGTAAATAAAATTTTGTCTTGAAAAATTTATAATATACGAATTATATCTTTCTTTATCTATGTATTAGCAGTTTTACAGTAGTTGCAAAGAACAGCGTGACTTGAATATTCTCGTTATGAAAGACCTGTCTTTAAGACGGTCATGTTTGTTGTAAGGAAACCAGAGCCCAAGATAGCAGTCAGTGAAAAAAAAAATATTGAGTTTCTCTCTGGTTTCAATTCTAGTAAGTTTTCAAACCACTTCAGCTTTTATTAAATTTGCAAAAGGGGATTTCTAAATCTTAAAAGTTGGAGTAAAATGGGAAAACTTTGGAGGGGGAAATGTGAAGGGTGTATAAACGAGCGAGCGGAACTGTCACTGCATTAGTGACTGTGATTAATCATGTGTTATTATTTGGTAAATTGTGTATGCTTTGTTTTAATGATTATTGTGTTCACTAGCCCTAGAACGTGTGATCTGAGCATCTGTCCTTCTAGGCTCCCTTTAAACATGTTATGGTTTGGGTCGCCCCCCCCCCTTCCACCTACCCACCCACCCACCCTCTCCCCTTTCAGAACATTTTTAAGGGGACTAAGCGGTTTCCCCCTGACTCTGTATAGACGTTCACTGTTTGATGAATGATGTGGTACAGATTTCGCCGGTCTCCTTTACATCCACAAATTTTAGACTGAGTTGACCTTGGAGCCAAACAAATAAAAACTTTCTGTTGTGGAAACAACATGTTCTTTATTGCTGGTCATTAGAGCAGACAAAAAGATTGAGTGGTGTACAGCAATGAGGGCTGTCGTCCACCCGGAAAAGGCGTCTGTTTTGTGGTGTTCTCTGGACAACACAAACGTTAAAGCTAATGTCCCAAGTCTCACGATAGATGGTAGAAACGTCATCAGAGAGAGCAAACTGAAGTATCTGGGAATTACTATTGACAAAAGCCTATCATTTAAGACCATGTGGAGAAAAAGACACAAGAAAGTTATGGAAGCTTGTAAAACAATTTAATGATGAGGACACAGGGTGGAACTCAAAGATCACGCTGCTGAAAGATGGAAACATGGTCACAGGAAAAGAGGCAGCCAACCTCCAAGCAGACACTTTTGCATTAGATAATGACATTGAAATCAGTTCAGAGAAAAAAAAAAAAAAAACAAGAAATTCAAGAAAAGACACTATTCAGAAGTCAGAAAGAAATAACACCATAGGCGCTAAAATGCCACTTTACACTTAATGAACTGGAGTTGGCTATTTCAAAGCTGAAAATGCGGAAGTCACCAGAAGCAGATGGTATATCTAACGAAATGATCAAAAACTTAGGAACAGTGGCCAAAACAAAGCTTTTACATATATTTAATGCTTGCTGGGCAACAGGGAAAGTTCCACAGATCTGGAGAAAGGCAATTATGATACCCCTCATAAAGCCTGGGAAAGACAGTTCCAATGCCTACAACTACAGACCGATCAGCCTCACTAGCTGTCTCTGCAAAACAATGGAACGCATCACCAACCTCAGACTACAATGGTACATTGAAAGTGAAAACATCATTACACCACAGCAGGCGGGCTTTAGAAAGTTCTACTCTACGGAAGACCAGACAACATACCTCTCCCAAGAAATAGAGGATGCTTTTCAAGATAAGAAACTGGTACTCGCGGCATGGAGAGAAGGAAAGCTTTTGACAAGGTTTGGAAGGAGGGGCTTTTTAAGAAATTGAGAAACTATAAAGTAAATGGAAGGCTGTACAATTGGATTAAAGCATATCTACACAACAGAAGAGCCCGGGTATAGGTAGATGGTTTTAAAAGTAAAAAAGTTCTACTGCGACATGGCGTTCCTCAAGGTGGTGTCCTTTCGCCCACACTTTTCCTCTTATTCATCAAAGACCTGGTTGCTGAAATACCAAATGGAATCAAAATGGCAATGTTTGCCGACGACCTGGTACTGTGGTGCACCGATGAACATGCAACGATAGCCACAAGAACACTACAGCGGGCTACATATGCACTTGAGGCGTGGGCCAATAGATGGTGTTTCAGTATAAATACAGACAAATGTAGCACCACACTCTTCACTCTTTCCCAAAAGCAAAAAGCGGGCATCATCAAAATAAACGGAATACTCCTAAGAGATGATAAAGAGCCCACATACCTAGGAGTCACATTTGATGACAGGTTGACATGGAGAAAACATTTCAACAAGGCAGCAACCAAAGCCAGGAGGTAGACAGCCATTCTAAGAAAACTAAGTGGAACCACATGGGGAGCCAGTGGAAAAATACTCAATAAAGTATACAAGCAGAACATACTTCCACACTTGGAATATGGGTCAACTGTATGGTGTTCAGCATCTAGTACCACATTAAAGGAGTTGGACAAAGTGTTAAAATCAAGCACTCAGAGTCATCACAGGAGGGATGAAATCACCCCTCATATTAGAAATGGAGAAAGCTGGGAAAACACAGGCACTGAGAGAACGCAGAGATACAAAGTTGAAATACAAGCTGAAAAGTTCCTCAGTATGCCAGATCACCCCATGAAAAAAAGATTTCAGCACCTAGCCTTGGGAGGTTAAAAAGCAGCAGCTTTATACATCAAGCAAAAAGAATATGAAGACAAACTACTGACCTGCCAGAAATTGGTTGTCCACTTAACAATATTCCAGAACAAACCCCACGGAGAGAGAAATGCAAACTAACAGTACAAATCCAGACAAATGTGAAAGGAATATTTGATAAGAAAGAACAACATGGTGTACAACGCAGAATGGCCACCCTCAGTTATATTGGTGAAGAATACTCACAAGAACAATGGGTCAGAGTCTTTACAGATGGGTCCGCAGAAAGTGCAGTTAGAAATGGTGGTGCTGGAGTGTACACATAATTTCCAAATGGTACTAGGGATAAGTCCAGCTTACCAGCCGAAAAGTACTGCCATAACTATGATGCAGAAACTCATGCTATCAAGATAGCAACAGAGAAACTGCTAAATACCAATCTTGGCTCACAGTATGTGGTTATGCTGACAGATGCTAAATCAGTACTTGAAGCACTCCAGTCTTAGAAACTACCAGAACTGCAAACTCTGCTAATACAACTTAGCTTTCAACTAAGAGTTGTAATGCAACTCTGCTAATACAACTTAGCTTTCAACTAAGAGTTGTAATGCAACTCTGCTAATACAACTTAGCTTTCAACTAAGAGTTGTAATGCAGTGGATACCATTATATTGTGGAGTGCCTGGAAATGAGAAAGCTGATCAACTGGCAGGAGAAGGTGCGACAAAAGTGCAGCCGGATGTACCAGTCACATACCACCAAAAGAAAAGAATCATTAAATCAATCAGGAAACCACCAGCCCCAGCACAAGACGACTATTTTATATTTGACAGATCAGAACAAGTCATTATCCTCCGCCTCAGAACAGGGCGCAACCGATTACGTAACCACATGTACACACAATTCAAGATAGGCGTATTAGCCATGTGCACCCGTGGAAAGGTGACTCAGACAGCAAAGCATGTACTCCAGGACTGCACCGAATTTGACACATTAGGGCAAAACATTTTGGCCAGAAAGAACAACAGTGGAACGTAAACTCTATGGACCACTGAATGAATTAACAACAACAGTGAAATGTATACTAGAGACAAAATTGCTGATATAGACAACTTGTTTCAGGCGAACGAAAGAAGAAGAAGAAGACATTTGACAGGAGCCTGTCATTTAATGACCATGTGGAGAGTGTTGTGACGAGATGCCAAAAAAAAAGGACTTAGTGCACTTAAGACTATGGCTGCAATTGACATAGAGCAGAGAATGCTTTTCACACTATACCAGCACCTGATCCTGTCAGTGGTTGATTATGGCCTCGTAGTTTTTACCGTCTCAAAGAGTCAGATGGACAAACTAGAACACGGCAATGCGGGTCATTCTGGGTTGCACCAGAGACACCCCAGTGGTGTGTATGCGATGCATCCTTGGTATACCGACGGTTGCAAGTAGGCACAAAGTGCTGCAGGCGAATTCATATCTCAGGGTAGCTGCAGATACAGACCGCCCTTTGCATGAAGCACTGGGTGCAGTTAAGGGTCAGCGGCTGATAAGAGGGAGGTCATGAATGGCTCAGGCAGAAGGCACAATCAGACAGGTTTGCATCCTTGAGAACATTAGGCGAGGAGAGGAGTGGGTCAAAGTGCCACCTGAGCAGTCAGACTTGTGTAGAGTCATAATCACGCTGAACCGCGAATGCAGAGACTGACCAGCAGGTGCCACAGAGGTGGAAATTCAGCAATTATTCAAGATAGTGCTCGCTTAGAGGATTTGATCATTTACACGTACGGTTCAGTGTCAAGAGGCAAAAGAAGTGCTTGGGGCTTCTTACCAAAAGTTAAGGATCGACGTTTAGTGCAGGAGAGCCTAGCATATTATACCACAACATCCAGCTTAAAAATGGATTTGGAGGCGGTCACTGCAGCTTTCCGCTGGCTAGAGAACACGACACACACACACACACACACACACATCGTGATTGTAACTGACTCAGAAAGCATGCTGAGGAAGATCAGAACAGGTATGCTTCGTGCAGAGAGGCATGCTTCGCTGCGGAGGACACGGGTCAGGAGTATTGTCTGGATTTTTTAACCGGGGGACGCAGGTGTGTTGGGAAATGAACAGGCGGACAGATTGGTTGGCTCTGCACAACTTGGTGGAATACTGATACAGGATAAGGCAGA